CGTGCTAAGCGCAAGACAATTTCTACTTGTACGATGGAAGAAAAGATCAAAAAAATATATTACAGAGAAGCTCCCTTCAAATGTGTATTAGAAGGCTATAGCGATAGTTGTCTGTCATATATTAGAATAAAAACGAGGGCCTTTTTTAAACTTGCTGAAATAACGAAAGCAAATGGTTTATTAAAGGATACAAGTATATGTTGGGCTTTGATCACATTTTGGTGGAGCATTTTGTTTGTGCACAAGTATATGTTGTTGTGCATATATTATTTTGTTATTTGTAAACTATAAATGTTGCAATACTTGTTGTTATGTAAACTTATGATGTCATGTAATTGATGAATTGGTACTTTTTAATTTTGATGCAGGTAAGTATTGATGGGAATGACCAATGAGTTCATAATTTGAACTTTATAAAGTCTTCCGGTATGCGTTTCCTTAAAATTCTTTTTATATGCTTGGGTGGATGGAGTTTGTGATGCATTTCCATTTGTTTGGTTTTGTTGCTATCGGATGGAGTTTGTGATGCTCCTTTGGTTTAGCTTTGTTGTTGTCGGTTTTGATGGTCATACATGAGCTTTGTGATGCTCCTTTTATTTGGTTTTGTTGCTATCAGATGGAGCTTGTGAAGCTCCTTTGATTTGGCTATGTTGCTGATGGTTTTGGTGGTCATACATGAGCTTGTGATGCTCCTTTTGTTTGGTTTTTTTGCTATCAGATGGAGCTTATGAAGCTTCTTTGGTTTGATCTTGTTGCTGTCGGTTTTGATGGTCATACATGAGCTTGTGGTGCTCCTTTTGTTTGGTTTTGTTACTATCGAATAGAGCTTGTGAAGCTCTTTTGGTTTGGCTATGTTGCTAACAGTTTTTATGGTCATACATGAGCTTGTGATTCTCCTTTTGTTTGGTTTTGTTGCTATCGGATGGAGCTTGTGAAGCTCCTTTGGTTTGGCTAAGTTGCTGACGGTTTTGATTGCCGTACATGAGCTTGTGATGCTCTTTTTGTTTGGTTTTGTTGCTATCAAATGGAGCTTGTGAAGCTCCTTTGATTTGGCTTTGTTGCTATCGGTTTTGATGATCATACATGAGCTTGTGATGCTCCTTTTGTTTGGTTTTGTTGCTATCGGATGGAGCTTGTGATGCTCCTTTGGTTTGGCTTTGTTGCTGTCGGTTTTATTAGTTTTGGTTAATAAATTGCTGGAGCTTGTGATGCTCCATAGTTGATATTTGGCAATAATGATTAGCGTTTTCTAAGAATGCAATCTAACTTACAACATTTATTATGTCCAGATAAGGCAATATGTGATGAGATTGCATCCTACATTGAAATGACAATGTCTAGGTGAGCTAATCCATCATTAGAATGCAATCTACAATAAACTTGTAAGTTATATGCGGGGCATTCAATTTTGACAAAATGACTTTTTTCTGAGCCGTACAATATCAACTAGATTTTTAATGGTAGTTTACTCAATTCTAATAAAAATTTTCATTACAAGATCAATAGTTTTTGCAAGTACAAGTACATGACATGCTGTTATAATAATTAAAATAATACAAAATATCACTAGTAAAATTGCTAAAATTTTCCAAGCTAGTAGTTGTTTTTGGATAAGTTTCAATTCTTTCTTCAGCCTCTTTGATTTCAAAATATCCTTATCACTGAAGCTATTTTCTTTGACAAATTGGTTTCCTTGGTTGCTTATTTCTACTCCTTCATGAGCCCATCCAAAAAATTACATTCTTTATTTGGGCATTTTTCATACCCTCAATAATACCTCCTCTTATTTTTACCATTCTTGCACACTTTCATGGGTCTTTGGAGATTGCAATCGCATCAAACTTTAAAATTTTTAGGGCATTCTTTTGATATCATATTGATGGAGGAGAGGAAACTTGCAAACTATGAGAATTTTAAAAAAGTGGTAAGAATGAGGGATACATTGGCATAATGAGCCCTCAATCCATATTTATAGCCTCAAAGGCCTTGGAACTAGCCGTTGTTACAATATTTTTTTTTTGAATTTTGGTAAACAAGTAAGATTACCCAAACTTCTTACTTAAATATTTTGTCCACTAGTGAATGGTAAGAATACCTAAGGTATTCTCACCATTTATCCCAAAATTTCTCATTCCAAACCAAACTAAAGAATAAGAATTAGAGGGTTTTTATAAAGTTAGATTCTATAGTTTCATGTTATGAAACAAACATAGAAATGTAAAAAAATAGGACTCCACATTATTTCATGACAACATAAAATTGTTCTTAATTTTTTTATAGATTAGGTATGAATCCATAAAAAACATCATTTTTCTAATCCTATTCTTGCTCACTATTGAACCAAACACACACTAAAGGAACTCTACCAGGGATCACTAGCAAAATCCAACAATGAAAGCAACTATTTGTGAATCCTTTCTTCTTTAAATATTGCATCTTTAATCGTACACAACTTTATTTTTTTCTTAATGAGAAAGATTTGAAGAAACAAAAGATATTTTTATTTGTTTTTGTAGAAAATTTAGTTTTAGGGTGAAGATGCATGTTTAATTTATCATGGGTTAAGATGGTTCATATTTGTGCTCAATTCCATTAGTTGTTATGGGCTTAGGTGGTTTATACTTGTGTTTGATACTGTTAACTAATTAGGCCAATTCGATTGTTTAGTTTTCTATCAGTGAGTTCATCCTGATAGAATCTCTTCATACCGGAGAGCAGCGGCTGGAATAGAATGGTGCACTCGTGGTTAGGATTTTGATTTGTTTAGCGATGGGTTGAGGGAGCAGGCAAAATCTAATTGATTAAAGGTACAGATGATGCGATGCAGCTGTTGCGCTGGATACTTTCTGGTTTGGTTCACAATACTTACAGAAAACTAGTAGCGGAAACCCTCCAACAATGGCAAAGTAGTAATTAAAATGTATGCCAAGTTCGTCAAAAAACTCAGATCGTTTCAAACATTTTTAATAGAATTATGCTCCTTAAATAGGAGGAGATAAATATACGTTGACTTTTGCTGATAGAAGTAAATATTAGAGAACCCTGTAATGACTTATAAAAATTAGGAATCTAAAAGATAATTGGCCAACATATTAATAATATACGTTGACTTTTTCTTTTTCTTTTTTAAGTGATGGGGTAAGATGTCCAAAAAGTAGGTAGAATAGAAAAAATAGATACAAAATAAACATGAAGATGCACAAGGGGAAAGGAGAAAAGTACAGTAGGAGGAGATTAAAGGGAAACATTTAAAGACAAAAAAGTACTGTGAAGATTATTGATCAATGAACTCATGATAAATTAAAACTATGAATAATTATACAAGCTTAAAACAAGTCGTAGATAGCCTTATATCTAATTCTTTCAAGATCAATTGTTAATTCTTTTCAAGTTTCTTCTTCTTCTTCTCAATCATCTGCCAAATTACATGATGAAAGATCAATTGTTAATTCTTTTCAAGTTTCTTCTTCTTCTTCTCAGTCATCTGCCAATTTACATGATCACACTAAACTCTTTTAAAGTTTTTAATTAAATAGAACATTTTATTATTAGACCATTTGTATCGGTCGGGCGTAGTTCAATTTGAAAAAATGTGATCGCTTTTTTAATTATTTCTTCCTTCACCTTAATTAATTATTTCTTCCTTCACATTAATAGAGAATTCATTCAATCACGTTAAGCAACTTCCAATCAGATTGGAATTACAAAATAATAGCTAAATAGCACTTATATACCCTATTATTCCATCTACTTTTAACTTATATACCCCAACTTGTGTTCGCTAGCAAAAAATACCCTAAATTTTTTTAAACTTGCACTTATATGCCCTCACTTTTTTTAGTGGCACTTACATACTCTAATGCTTTTAATGCTAGCACTTAAATATCTTAAAGTTTTTAAAAACATGCACATATATACCCTCATATATACAAACTTGAGGATATTTAAGTGCAAGTTTTAAAGACTTTAGAGTATTTAAACGTTAGATTTAAAAGCTTTAGGTCATTTAAGTAGAAGTTTTAATAACTTTAGGGTATATAAGTGCTATAAAAAAAAGTAAGAGTATACAAGTGCAAGTTTAAAAAACTTTAGGGTATTTTCTTGCTACCAAAAACAAGTCAGGGTACATAAGTGGAAAGTAGATGAAACAATACGGTGTATAAGTGTTATTTAGCCAAAAATAATTCAATGATGCTAATCGCAATTATTAGGATTTAATTATAGGCTAAATCACCAAACACGTTAAATACAGAATTGAATCGAATTAAAAAGAATCTGCTTGCAGGCAATTGGATGCAAGATCCATGCTCGTCAAAGTCCTCTCCCAAAGTCTTTTAAAGATTCAATTCAAAGCATTATATAAAAAATAAAATGGAAGTGTGGACTCCGTGACTCATGAACTTTGCTAAAGTCTATCTAGCCTCTTCAAAAACTTCATATTCTACGTGCTTTTTTCCTTCCTCATTTTCAATGAAAATTCCTTGTTGTTTCCATATTCCTTGGACCTTTGAATAATTTTGGTCTTCAATATTAAATCTTGGCAGCGCTTACTAATACTATGCTACTACGCTACTACCACCGTACAAATACGTCAAGCTAACAATAATATTAACTTTTAGCGGGAGTAATATGAGAAAAATGGAGAAACTTGGCACCAAGTTGCTTAAAGCAACTTGGTAGTGATGTGACCTAATCTTGGCCCTACATCACACCTCGAAGATAGAGCCTCAACCACCCTTCACTAACTCCAATGTAGATGTAGGGACAAGATTAGGCCACATCACTATAAAGTTGCTTGGAACAACTTGGTACCAAGTTTCTCCATTTCTCTTAATATTGTATTTACGTTACAATTATTTTTCACGTTTTCAGTGGGGCCTCAAACTTATAGAGTACTGGCATGGAGGAGGCCCAGCGAACAGGCCTACAATACAGATGGGCTGTAGCCCAGCCCAAAACCTCTCTACGTCCTCTAGCCCTTCTTCCTCCTCTGTATGAGATAATATAGCTCTCTCTCTCCCCCACGAGTTCATAATTTGAAACAGACCCAAGAAAAATGGCGACTTCCCTGTGCTGTGGACTCCACACTACTCCTCCAGGGTCTCCACAGCTCCACCAATGGAAATTATCCAAGGTCTCATAAACAACCACCCCTTAAACCCTGAACCCCATCTCCCATTTTTCTTCAGTTGTTTTTTTTCCTAAGTCTAATATTTTTTTCCCCAGAAGAAAGGGAGATGCCCATCATTAAACAGAGTGAAATCTGCAACTGTAACTTCCAAGCTCGAGCTGAGCCCACTACCATATCTGATGGTAGAGTTCTTTGGGCTCTATAGCTGCGCATTTTCGTTTATTTTAAGCTCTAATATTGTCTTGTTTTTTTTTTTTTTTTTTTTGGGGAATTCTTTGGAGCCTTATATGAGCAGTGAGACACTGGAGCAGCATTGGGGGAGGCATCAGAGAGCTCATGTAGAGAGCTTAAATGAGCAGATTGAAGGGACGGGGTTCGAGGAGATGAGCTTAGAGGACATTGTTGTTGCTTCCTATAACAAAGGGGATCCTCACCCATCGTTCAAACACGCAGCGCAGGTTTTCAACCTTACTGCTTGTAATGTGTTTGATACTTTGCCTGTGAGAGTTTACGTTGTTATTTGTCGTTTTTCCGTGGGTTTCTAGTCGAGGTCTAATATGATGCCAATCCTTTCTTAAGTAGTGTTGAATTCCTGATTGAAGAAGGTTTGGAGAGAAGACGAGTTCGTAGTAATTCTTGTTGGAGCCTAAAGCCCTCGACCTTCGTTTTAACTTTGTGGCTTTGGTGCGGTGAAAGAGACCTTTGACAGGATATCAGAGTCGAACAGCCATGATTTTAAATTTGCTTTTTCAGCCCATTAAAAGTTCGCTCAACCTAGAGGGTAGGCTGTTGGAGTGTAAATTTATAACCCGTATCTTAAATTTGGAGTTGTGATGCATAGGAAGTGACCTTTGATGTCTTAAAGGACATGACAATGTCCGTCAAATTTCATTACATGCAATATGTTTGATAGTGAGCCTTTGAGAATCTATAATGTTATGTCACTGCTACCCCATCATTAAACAGAGTGAAATCTGCAACTGTAACTTCCAAGCTCGAGCTGAGCCCACTACCATATCTGATGGTAGAGTTCTTTGGGCTCTATAGCTGCGCATTTTCGTTTATTTTAAGCTCTAATATTGTTTTTTTTTTTTTTTTTTTTTTTTGGTAGAATTCTTTGGAGCCTTATATGAGCAGTGAGACACTGGAGCAGCATTGGGGGAGGCATCAGAGAGCTCATGTAGAGAGCTTAAATGAGCAGATTGAAGGGACGGGGTTCGAGGAGATGAGCTTAGAGGACATTGTTGTTGCTTCCTATAACAAAGGGGATCCTCACCCATCGTTCAAACACGCAGCGCAGGTTTTCAACCTTACTGCTTGTAATGTGTTTGATACTTTGCCTGTGAGAGTTTACGTTGTTATTTGTCGTTTTTCCGTGGGTTTCTAGTCGAGGTCTAATATGATGCCAATCCTTTCTTAAGTAGTGTTGAATTCCTGATTGAAGAAGGTTTGGAGAGAAGACGAGTTCGTAGTAATTCTTGTTGGAGCCTAAAGCCCTCGACCTTCGTTTTAACTTTGTGGCTTTGGTGCGGTGAAAGAGACCTTTGACAGGATATCAGAGTCGAACAGCCATGATTTTAAATTTGCTTTTTCAGCCCATTAAAAGTTCGCTCAACCTAGAGGGTAGGCTGTTGGAGTGTAAATTTATAACCCGTATCTTAAATTTGGAGTTGTGATGCATAGGAAGTGACCTTTGATGTCTTAAAGGACATGACAATGTCCGTCAAATTTCATTACATGCAATATGTTTGATAGTGAGCCTTTGAGAATCTATAATGTTATGTCACTGCTACCTCAACTAACTACAATTGTCGCCTTAGTCTTTATCGTTGCAAAAAGGGGATGGTTATGGAGCAATGCCCCCATGAAATAGTTGACACAGTTTTACAATCTGACTGACAAACTGATGTCAACACTCTCTTGATTAGTGTCCTGACGGAGGAAATTATGTACAAAGAGGTACTTGTTTGAATCCAAGAATACAAGGCTAGGACCTGAGAAGTCAGAAAAAGGGAGATGATAGATTTCTTGATAGTTTAGGAATTAAGAACTGTGGACATATAGCTTTTGGCCGATTGTTTTAGATCAGCCTATATTGGTGGAAATTTGGTAGCACTAGGTTAATTTAGTTTGCTAGTCCTTTTTTTTTCCCTTCCTGGCTATAACTTTGCATAGTGATTAATTATTATCTTTCCTTGCATTACTAGCAGATCTGGAATCATGATTTTTTCTGGAATTCTATGAAGCCAGGTGGAGGGGGTAAGCCCTCTGGAGTTCTTCTTGAATTGATCGAAAGGGATTTTGGTTCATTTGAGGGGATGTTGAGAGAACTCAAGAGAGCTGCATCAACACAGTTTGGTTCTGGTTGGGCTTGGCTCGTGTGTAAGTATAAGTATAGTTTTCATGCGCTCACAGTTTTCTCAGGGTATTTCAGGTAAATGCGAGTGTCTATTTAGAAACTGATTTGAGTTATTTAATCTAGCTTGTTCTTTTGATTTTTGCAGACAAAGCAAACAGGTTGGACGTGGAGAATGCTGTAAACCCTTGCCCAACAGAAGAGGATAATAAGCTTGTGGTGGCAAAATCACCAAATGCCGTAAATCCCCTTGTTTGGGATTACTCTGTAAGTGTGTATGCTCTTTCTTCTTTTTTCTAGCTCACACTAGATGCTTTGTAGATTTGCTATCCAATTTTGCATTATTTGTACACTGAAATGTGCAATTTTATTTGATTTTACCTGTTGGTTGTTAATCATCTGTGCAGTGTTTTATGAAAAATTAGTTATTGCGTCATCCTTAGTAGCATTGAAACACTAAAAATGTAAACATGAGAGTTTGAAACCTTACGGAACTCGCCAAACTTTGCTGAATTCATTTTTCTTGCATGCTTTCTGTATAAATTCTGGATTATTCGGAGCGCTAAAATCGTTTATTCTCGCTGCATTTTCATATAAAAGAACAACCAAGAACAGATAATAGCTTGCTTCATGTCTTTGGATCAGTTAATATAACGAGGACTGTGATCTTGAAATGATTGTGCATTTCAAGTGATAATTGTTGGATCATCTATTTGAAGAAAATATCTCTCAAGTTTTTTTAAAAGCAACGGTTTGTATCTTAAGTGCCTTTATTTTTTTAATAGTTATTGATTGCCTTAATAATGTTGACTTTGTGTGGATGATTAGACTACGCTAATAATTGTCACGGAACACTTCCTCTTTCTTTTCATTTAAACATATCGTTTCATACACCGACAGTTGTGTGCTTTTTTCATATCGTGCTATCACCTAAATACCCATCATATACTCACCTTTGTAATTAGATTTTGTTGTTTAAATGCAGCCACTCCTTGGAATTGACGTTTGGGAGGTACGCTACTCATCATCATCCTAACCAAGAAGAGCAGTATTCTTTGAATTACCAAATTGTATAACAAATACACTGACCAACTAATATTTTGCATATGGGATTCTATTTGTCTGCACAGCATGCCTACTACCTTGATTACGAGGTATTTCTTCCTTGTATGTTACTTTTTCATTCATACCAATTTCAGCTAATTTACGTATTTGTATTTGTCTACTTGTTTTCCTCGTTTTTGTGTAGAATCGACGTGCTGATTATGTGTCAGTCTTCTTGGAGAAACTTGTTTCCTGGGAAGTTGTTAGCTCGAGGCTTGAGATGGCAATGGCGCAGGCATCAGGCAGAGGGAAACAAGGCGATGGAAACGAAGAGGATGAAATGAGTGATGGTGAAGCTGTAGAGATGTATCTCGACAGCGAAAGTGATGACTCAGATGCAGAATGAAAAACTCAATTCCAAGTTCTTGACAAACTTAGAGAACAACTTGATTGCTAAGGCAGAAGAACGTTAGGGCCATGGAGGTCTAACTGGTGACATATTGGCTAAACTCGAGCAAAATAATCAGGATGTAATACTCTTTTTGTTTATACGAGGGTTGATGCTTGTAAGATTTTGTTCAATAACATTTTGTAATCATAAGCTAAGTTATGCAAGCATAGGTTCAAAGATTCAAATGTTGCAGATATTTTGTTATTCTTGAGTATCTACAAGCGATCTTAAATTCAATCCTGTAAGATCTGCCAGAGGCACGCATGACAAATGCAAAACCTAAATCCATGAAAATTTGGAGACTGTCCAAATTCTAAACATGGTAATTTCTTGTGTACCTAAATAATGAACTTTTATTCATCTTACCATTTAATAACTCATAATCAGATCTTGTTAAACAAATATTGGCTATTTGACAATTTTAAACAGGCTTTCCCAGTGTTTGAAGTGCTTAAATATTGTTTAATAGATGAAAATAGGTGGATTTTTTGAGCAAGACTCCTATCAACTTAAGTTGATATCCACCAAAGTTTGTAGCCACACATTATTAATATAAAACACCTTTTTATATAATACAAGGATCCCTAGGCAATATGAGTGGTTAAAAACTTTGGTGGACACACTATTCCCTATCCACTTAAGTTGACACAAGTTTTCACCGGATTTTTTTGTTCTAGTCAGTGTAATACTATTATTTTGAGTTCATTCCATTTAAATTAGTGCTTTCTACATCACAATTATTGGGAAGAGACATCTACGATAATTAGCATTGAACAATTTCTTTGTGAAAATATGTCTAGTTAAATATGGAGCACACATAAAAAATCTAACCAAATTTTAATTGTTCATGTTGACTCTTCAATTATAAGATCAGCTAAGCCCTATTTGGTCAGTCCAGGAGCGACAGTTCATGGACATTATGGGCAAACCCTTTTTGAAGGAGATACATTAGTTATATTTATATGTGAAAACTCCCGATCAAAAACCACTTTCTAGAAATATGAAAACTCCAGGAGCGACTGTTATCCATTTTCGTTAATTGTTTGTCTGACTATTTAAGTGGAAACAAACCAAATAATTAACAAATACTATGTTAATTGTTTGTCTGACTATTCAGTTATTTTTTATTTGGTAGTTCATTTAATAGCAACGAATATTTTTTTAGAATTTGGTTTATCAACAAATTGAAATTAACCAGATGTATATTCAAGCTAATGGCTAAAAGCCATGATAGTTATCATTTTCTATGCCGTCCATTTCTAAAAGAAAAAACCTAATTATGTATTAGTCGTCCAAAATAAAAAATTAAATCTTTTAAAAACCGAATTAAAATTTAATTACTATATTTTGGATAATTAAATTTTAAAATACTACCATTTAGAAATTCTTATAATCGCGATAAGCATATATTTTCCATCCATGGGAGATCTGCAAATAAAAGTCACAAATAAAGCAAAAAATATAACATTTGGGAGCTCCTCCAGTGGCTCGGCCGAGATCTATCTTGTGGTCTTCATCTTCGTAGAGGAAGCCTCCAATGAATAGATCAAACGAGCTTATAGGAACAACAGGGTATATCCCTTGTTTTTATCGTCAAAAAAAAGCTTATAGGAACAATATTATTATGTTTAATTTGATATTATTTTCATTTAATATAGACTTTTTAATTAAAAATAAATATTTTTCATATTTTTCTTGAGTGTAGTGAACAACTCCAATCATACTTATGCTTTTGCTCTACTGTAGTCAGGAATTTGATTAGTCTCCGAGAAATACATTAGGTAATTAATCTATTTATGTCAAAAAATACATCAGGTAATTAATCTAGCACCATCCAATATTTATGTTATTTTAATTTTTGTATTATATTATTCTATTTTAATTTTTTTTGAATTTTGTGTTTTTTAGATTGTCGGTTCTTAAAAATATTTTTGGTTTTGAGAAAATATAAATTTTTAATTTAATAATATAGCAACAATTATAGTATATAATTGGTAGATAATTTTTAAGATTTTTGGTTTGTATATATTATTTGGAAGTTAATTTTTGATAATTTTTAGAAAATAAATTATTGTAAAATTTTTAGATTTTTAAAAAACTATTTTTAAATTTTGGGTTCTTAATAATATTTTTTGAGATCGGGAAAAAATATTTTTGATTTTGACAAAATGTGAATTTTTTTAATAAAATTACAATAATTATAGCATATAACTGCTACTTAATTTTTAAGATTTTCGGTTCTTATATCTTATTGGAAGTTAGTTTTTGATAATTTTGAGAAAATAAATTTTTGTGATATTTTCTAATTATTAAAAAATATTTTTTAAATGTCGGTTACTTAAAAATATTTTTGATTTTTAGAAAAAATATTTTCAATTTTGACAAAATATGAATTTTTCTTTATAGTATTACAATAATTATAGTATATAATTAGTAGTCAATTTTTAATATTACAACAATTACAGTATATAATTGGTAGTTGATTTTTAACATTTTCGGTTTTATATATTATTTAGAAGTTAATTTTTAAGGTTTTGAGAAAATAAATTGTTGTAATATTTTCTAATTGTTAAAAAGTATTTTCGATTTCAAAAAATATATTTTTTATTTTGAAAAAATTGAATTTTTATCTTAAAAATATTACAACAGTCATAGCATATAATTGTTAGTTAATTTTTAAGATTTTCAATTTGCATACCTTAATTTGTAAAATTTTCTAATTTTTAAAAAATATTTTTTCATTTTCAATTTCTTAATTTTTTTATTTTCATAAAATAAATATTTTTTTAGTTTTTAGAAAATAAATGTTTTTTTAGTTTTGAGAAAATAAATTTTTCTCAAATAAGTATGATGCAATGTGACACCCCGTTTTCATACATAGCTACAGTCCAAGGTGAATCTAGAGACGTCAAACCTGTCATGTACCCACACTGTGTAATAGCACGTTTCACCAATCACAGTAATATCCTCTAGTGGAAACCAAAAAAAAAAAAAGTGCAGGTACAATACATGCAAACATAAGGAAATAAATACAATAAATATGATGTCGAAAGATAAATCTCATAAATAAAATCATGTTTCAAATGGATAAAACTATGAATACATTTAATCTTTGAAATTATATAAAAAGGTCTCAATATGGAATAACTAAAAATGTAATTAAGGTTCATAGCCTTAGTAGTCATATCTCGAATCAAAACAACACAGTATTAAGCAAAACAGCCTTAGTAGTCGACTACTAAGCTTAGTAGTCGACTACACTGAGTAGTCGACAACACAATATTCAACAACACAATATTCAGCAATACAACACAATATTCAGCTTAGTAGTCGACTACACTGAGTCTAAGCAGACTCTGCAAAACATGAATCAATATTAGTAGTCGACTACACTGTATATTAGTCGACTACTCTGTAATCAGACAGTTTCTGTAGAACAAACTAGACCTTAGTAGTCAACTACTACTCTTAGTAGTCGACGATTAAGCAGAAACATGCACACATCCGTGTACATATAACACTTAGGAATCGTCACGTGTTTAATCTTCTCATTAGTCAAGAAAAAGACATACACCCTAGTTATCGATTAAATTTACTTGAACATGCTTGCATATTAAACTTAAAACTTATATAATTTCGTTTATTCACATTTACAGAACCAAAAATACCCTAAACTCGGTGTTTAATCAGACTTAATTAACATGTAAGCCCTTTATATCACAAGATTAGGGTTTTGAGCATGATTACACATAGAAAATAAGATACAAATGTAAATCTATACTCCCTAATGATCATGATCGCGTTTCTATTATAAACAACAAGTAAAACATGTAGATCTAACATCAGGTTAAGGTTTTATATCAAAAATCCTCTTTTTATCATGTTAGACAGTTAGATCTAATCATCGAAAATCCATATTACTCATTAAACCCAAGTTCTACACTATGGGTGAGGTTTGGATGAATGAGATCTTGCCTCAAACATGGTGTTGACCTCCTGAATGTGTGTGCAAACTCCTTTCCTCGGCTACAGTCCTCGATCTCTCTCTCTGCTCGATGCTACGTCTCAAACGCCTCGAGGAACTCAAAAATCGTCTCCAAGGTTTAAGGGGAAGGAGGTGGCTGTAAACTCTGGTGAATTCCCTCAGGAATTAGGGTTTTTACAGGTATATATACTTAGGTTATCAGTTGGGCTCGAAACAAAACAAATTCAACCCGGAATCTGTAACCTGACACGCCCAGGAAACTCCCGCTAGTCGACTACTAAACTTAGTAGTCGAGTACTAAGCTAAACTCAAGATTCTGAAAACAGTTTACAGGCTTAGTGTAGTCGACTACTACGAGCACTAGTTGACTACACTGAGTCTGTTTGCCTGTGCAAACTGATTCATTCTCATACTCGAAAATATGTACGTCGAATTGATCTCAAATTAGTTCCTAACGTACTCAAACATCAAAATATACTATTTATCACAATATAACATATTAAATATCATTTATCACATAATATACAAATTTGTGGGGTTTTACATGCAACATAATCGTATTAATTTCTTTTTGAAAATATATTTTCTTTTAGGTTTTTTAAAATTTCTGAAATTTAAAATTTTAGATTATACTATTTTTAAATATATATATTTTTAAATTATTACTTCAATTAAAAATAACAAAAAAGAAGATTTTTTATTTTTAAAAATATTATAGTAGTTTTAATAATTTTTTATTTCTAAAATATTACAGTTGTTTAATAATTTTTTAAAATATATGTATGCATTTTCAAAATTTTTGAATATCTTTGATAATATCTTTAGCAACTAACTGAAATCAGATATTCACATATAGAAAACATCAATTTATAATCAGATGTTCATACCCCCCACGCTCTACTTACCCTCCGGCCTTTCCACCCCTCGTCCTGCAGCAGCAGAAGGAAGGCACATCTTCATCTCACCGCAGAAGTTCAACTGAGCCTTAGGAGGACAACTGCTGTGTATCATTTACTCCATACCCACCAAATCCAAATACAATTCTATGATTTAGTAGTAAAAGACATTTTGTACAGTAGCAAATAAGGAAGCTCATAAGAAAACTGTAATTTAGTAGAAGACTGCTGAATGTCCACTAACAATAGGAAGAACATATACTTTATATTTCATTAATACATCTACCATCAAATTCAAATACAACACTAACATCATATTTGTCCTCTGAGAGATAAGCATGCAGCAAAGTAGAAAT